GAGCTTGAATTGTGTGCCTTCCGACCAAAAAACATTACAAAGAAAGGGAAAATTCGACATATATGTATTTTCTAAACGTTAGCCATGTTGATATTCGACTCATGTTGACGCTTATCATATTCACGTGTTAACTCTCTGAATTTTTCGCTGTAAACGAGTAGATTCGAATTTTCTGGCCCTGCATTGCCAACACACGGAACAAGTTTAACCGAGTAATTAGGACAATATCACTTAAACAACAGAATTTTCTATCCTGTTTCGTTCTCAAGCGCTATGTTAGCATGGTTAGTCTTTTTTTTACTGGAATGCACATCCTCGACTTCACGGTAGGACATTCTGGGAATAAAACTGTAGACAAATTGTGCCATGTACTGTAAATACATAGGATCTGAAGTTTCGTGTTTTGTTGTCTAACCTGTACATAATTAAATGTACAACAAGTATTAGCTTTCCTAAAAAAATTGTCTGACTTGAAGAAGTTTATTTTTACGGGAAGAATCACGAAAAAGATAAAAACTTTTTTCTATGCTCTATAAGGAATTTTTCATTGATAGTGTCCACCCTAAAGTGAAAATTTCTGATATTCTTCCAATAAACCTGTTCATGGATACAAAGATATAACCGGTGCTTTTGAAAGAAGAAGTTACAACACATAAAAATCTTAACATCAATTGGTAAACAATTTTGATAATTAAATCTTTCACGTTCGTACCGGTCAAATTTGATCACGACCGGTAGGACACTTTTTTTCTAATAGATTGCTCAAAAAAATTAATAGTTTCGTTTAGAATTAACGGTTTTCAATAAGTCAGGAACAATTTTAATCGTAAGACACTGTAGCATTTAATAACATGCAAAACAATTATGAAATGTAAATATTTAATGCCTTAATTAACGATTAACTCTGACTAGACTGCGAGAAAAAAAATTCGGAAAATATGATCTTCATTTATGTGCGTTTTCTGCAACTTTTCCAGATTCTATGGTCGATACAATGACCTTGTCAGCAAATACAATCTATCATTAAGTCGAATGCTGACAAGATCATTGTATCGACCATAGAACATAGGAAATGATGACTTTAAAATAGATTGTTGATATTCTTGTTTCATCAACTTGTGTGTCAATAACTAACCTCGTTTTAGAAATTGTATATACGTAGAGCATGCTCTTGCGTATCCAATCAACTGAGTACTTGTGTGTACAATCAGAATGTTTTTTTAACAAAATAATTTTGCAAATGACCAATGACAAAGAAAGTAAATATATTTGTATTGAAAAAGCAGCTGTCAATGATGTCAAAAAGCCTGAGCTGGGATTAAAAAAAAAATTGTGGAAAGATGCACACTTCGGTATAAATAAATTCTTAGCAAAGAAAAAAATTCTTAAGTCATATTCATATAAATTCTAAGTGCAATTCTTAGTTAACTTTAATTCTGAGAAAATTAGAGCATGTAAGATAAGTCACCCTAACAACACATACAATTTACCGAACAACCAATAAACTCTTTTGTAATGGAGGTATTTAGTTCCATATGTATTACATCACAACTGATAAGTATAGCTATGTCATCAACATTGCTCATTTGTTTAATACCAGTTTATAAATATCTCAAAGTCAAAACGAGTTCCTAGTTAGATGTTATAGAATGGTTTCCAAATAAAAGATTATGATTTTTTCTGTGCACCATTGTTTTTTATTTGTACGAAGAAAACTTAAGTATTTCTTATCTACTTAAGACACCTCCTGAGGACACATAAATTTAAGTCAATACTTAAGCACTAAATATGTGTATTTCTACCAAATTTAAGTAATACTTAGGGAACTTAAGTAAAAAATATATAAATTAAGTGATTTTTTAAACTTAAGAATATACTAAGAAGATTATGAATCCCCGTTCTGGCCTTTAATTAATCATGGGGAATGGAGTATATAGCGTTGAAAAGTGGTAAGTTTTTATGTTATTGATTTTTGTAAAATTTTGTGAGATTAAATTTTCTAAAGATTTCTTGGAGTTTTTAAGTATCCTCATCTGATTTACACAACTTTTCGAATAGATTGCTGCACAGTACTCCTTATGTCTATCCTTCACTGCTGTTAATATTTTAATGAGGAGTAAAGAATGAGGCTTAGTTGAACGTTTACTGGAATCTGCTATGTATCTTTGTTTGTAAAGATTTTTATGAAATTTCGGAATCCAGTATAGACATGGTATTTGAATTCATTTTGGTTGTTGGGAATATTAAAAATATTCAAAACTGATATATAATCTTATCTATTTTCCATGAGTTAAGAATTAGCAAAGATATCGAGTTACGGTGGATTACAACTATAAGGGCTCAATTTCGGTTTTTATGGGAAAAAAATGGATACCCTTAGCTAAATCTCTCCTAAGCTTTAATCCTTCCCGCAAATTGGTTAACACACCTGACAAATTATTGCCAGCAAATTCTGCAACATCGTCCACAATTATCCTGTTATTGTCAACTTTGTCATTTCTTTTCTTTTTTGCCCAATATTAGTGCACGTGTCGATAAGAACATGCCATGTTTGACACACTCTTAGACCACCCCAAAAGTGTAGGAGCTCCGGATTATATCTCCATATGATAGACTGTAGTCTATGCAACTATTCTAGGTAATAAACAAAAGTTGACTTTTAAATTTGACTTCGCTGAAATTTTGTTTCATGTTACGTCATTTTTATGAACAGTATGCTAAACAAACAATTCTGACATCAATTTTGGATTTATAACGTAATAATAATTACAAAGTGAAGTCACAATATGTGTATATCTTCCTGCTCTTCTCAATTATATCAAACTTATTAACTTCCGTAAAATAGTTAATATCTAAGCAAACCAATTCTGAACTTTTCAAATGCCGCCCTTTAAAAAGTGGATGTGTGTTTCCCGATAAATGTTGGGAAAAAACAATGTTATTGTAACAATAAATTCTTAATTACACAGTGACCTTCGTTTTCATGTTTACTCATTTCGTAAAGAATCGAAATGTCACCGTTTACTAGAATACGTGTTATAGTTTTACCTTATTTTCTGCTATTTGTTTGTCCCTGCCATAAAATGACCGGGCATATAGTGTTACTCTGTTCCGTAATCCTGTCATTTCGTCACCATGAGTAATGAATTAGATTTAGACTTGAATGAATTAGAACACTATTTACCAAAGTAGTTGTTGTAACTAAAAGTTTGTTCCTGGACTTTTTTCAAAGGGAGAATTGCTAGAGATTCTTTTTTCACATATCCCTACAGTAAAACATACCAGGATTATAATAACGATGGCCCCAGAAACTTTTGCCTTGAATTTTGTCTTTGTCGTTAATTCCATTACACCAAATGCTAGCGCCCTATGTGGCAACAACACAGACTGTTTGTTTGACTCACAAGCGCCTAGCTGATTCCACCTCTGGAATTTTTCAGAGGTTCATATTTTAGGCCCTGTTTTCAGATTTGTCTTGTTTGCATGTATTTTGAGATCAATCATTGTTCATTATCGTCATCTATTTCAATGACAAATTTAACTCTGAGGAATATACTGATTTCATGAGAATTCTTGCCGTCCGAAAAACACGACAGCTTAAAAAGCCTCTGATTGGCAATATCTGCAATCACAGAATCCAGCCTGTATTCTGGTGTTGGAAATTCCTAAGTCCTACCCTTTACCCTTTTCATATAGACCATATTAAACTTTTAACTGAACACTGTAAAGCTTGGTGCGGATGTGAGGCAGACCTGTTTCTTGACGTAAGGAAAAAGAGATTCAAAAGAAACATCAGTATTGATCTGGAAATAGTAAAGAAAGGATTTTTTTTAATATAATTTATAGAATCATTGAGAATAAATTTCATTTTATCATTTTTTATTTCTATAAGCATTATTTAACAATAATAGAATAGAAATCGTTAAAAAAAGGAAAAGAAAATCTCTTGATCTTCTTTAAAAAACAAAATATAATTTAAAACTGATAAGCTCTCTGTATGTTCAAAATGATGAATAAGTAAAACAAAAAAGGAAAAAAAAATTATCTGAGACTCTCTGATGCGTCGTACTTTTCCTTTTTTTCTCTCAAACGTACACTGTTTAACATTTTCATTTTTCTAATCCAAAACAGCTTAATTTCAACCAATTTTGGTGTATTAGTATATTATCAATGGATAAATAAAAATATGCATAAATATTAAATTATATAATAATCTGCGAATTTTCATGGTCTCTGACTCCCTTGGGCCTGATGGGAGTGGACAAATAAAGTGTAATATGAGCGAAGAAGGCTTTTAAAGAATCTTCTTTACTTATGGACATCTAGTAGGCAAACGGTTTGCTTTATCATAATCCCTATTCAATCTTTTACCAAAACTGTGTAAACCAAGTCCCCTGGGTCCATGTTTTAGGTCATACGGTGGGTATATTTGGTAATATATTGAAAATATATTATATGATCGACATCAGAAGGCAAACTTTTTCTATGATTATAATAAACACGGCACTATAAAAAAAATGTTAGCTCCTGGTTCAAACCACAGAGTTGGACTAAACTGGTGGTAAATTATAAATTCATAACTCATTGACAAATCTTTACTCATGTTCATCTGTAAGGCAAATGTTGCACAATTACAATGAGTATTTAAACCTTAACGCCTCATAGTCCAGGCATTTGAATCTAGACTGAGGCCATTTGTTATTTCACTGAATTCTAAGTTCCTTTCCTATAGTTTTAAAATCTATGTCACCTGTAGCCAGTGCTCAGGTACCAGGGTGGGGCTAAGTTGGTCATGTATTGAAATTTATTATAGATTGTGCCTTATCTTCTTTAAACTGAACATCAAGGATGCATTATTCAATCCTCTCAAAACTAAATTTATTTGTGAGATGAGAGGTGTAGTTTTGGTATATTAAATCGGAAATAGATTTCAGAAACCCTTGATACTCAGGTGACTGTCATCCCACTTACAAAGTTTTTATTTATATAAAACCCTCAGATTGAATAAGAAATTCACATTTTTATTATTATTATAATATCATTAAACTGTTAAAATAAATAAGTTTAATCACTTTCACAGCGACATCCCCCTCTCTCACGTTTTCTATTGATAAAGTCATGTGACCAATTATAAACATTATGACTGAACATTAAGGAGTTAGAACAATCTAATATTTATAAATTTGTGTCAAGTGGAGAGAGAAAAAAAAACTATAACTGTTTATATATCTTCTCATTTTTGTTCAAAGAAAAGAAAAAAAAATTATATGCATATTGATCTCAACAAGACGATACAGTGATATGCATGTCATATTTGATCATTAGAACATTTCAATTCTCAGCCGACATACTGTTAAATACAATGTTCTTATCAAAATCTGACTAGTGCATTTTAAATTTTGGAAAGAAATACGATTCCTCAAAGTTTAGATACGCCGATTGTTCGTGGAATCATGTCTTTCTTCATGTTCTGCAAGTCTTTTCGTTGTATTATGTTGTTACCAAGAGCCTTGAAGCCAATCGCTTTACTTTCAGATATCAAATTTGATTCTGTTTCAATTCTATCTACAATCTTTAGTTTGAGAGCTTCAGGGCCTGTTAATCGTTTAGCATAAATGACCGATTCTCGTAAAGCCTCTATGTTGAGTTTGCGTCTGAAAAGAAATAAATTAATTTTAAGGAAAAGTCATGCTATTTCCTGAAAATTCTTTTTCATATTCATATTATACATAATTTTTCTTTTACAAAGAAGCAGTATATATTTTGTGCAAGGAGAATGACTGGTATTTTACTGAATTTTTTTTTTTAATTCTGATTTTTCTTTAAATAAAATCTCGTACAACATATCTTTTTCTGTGTTGAGAGTAACAAAGACGAAAGGTCATCCAATCTCATGGAATATAGAAGCGAAAACTGTTAAAATGGAGTGATACGTACTCTAAAATTTCGCTGAGTGAATCTGTTATGCGAAGGCTTATCAAAGTTTCATTCCAGGAAATCCACCCGCGATCAGACCGCATCACCCTGTAATCATGGCACAATGCCAGAAAAGCTCCACCAGCGAAACAATGTCCTGGAAAAAATCAGAACAAACTGTGACAAAAGAAATTTGTAAATATCATTTTTTATAATGTAACATTTTTTATGTGTCAAATATATTATTTCTTGTGTTCAGGAATCCTGATGGAAACTTTAAAAATGATGATTATCTATATTATTATAATTACATTTACAAAACACATTTTCCAATTTTAGACACATTTCAAAACATATTTGTTTTTTTGTTTTTTGTTTTTTTTTTTTTTTTTTTTTTTTTTTTTTTTTTTTAGAAAAATAGTATAGATAACATGTATGCATACTTTGAAGAAATTTTAGGGAATTTCTGAAATAGAAGTAGAACACAAATATGCAAACAGCAAATATATACAAACATTTTGAATTTTCAGTTTGAAAATACCGAGATAATGTAAAAGTCGGGAAATTTTTACAGAACATTTTTCTCTGGCCATAATTGGTATGAATCTTTAACTACATTATTTGAGAAGTACTACAAACATACAAGGGAACACACAAAAAAGAAGGACAGAGCTTCCCTACTCTAACCATTAATGGCTGCCACAGTGGGTATTGGAAAGTGCATGACTCTCCAGAGAGTATCCAGCAGGACCGTGTAGAACTGTCTACCAGCATCACTAGATCTCCCGGTAGAGTTCAGCCAGTCCAGGTCAATGCCGTTACTGTAAAATTTACCCTCCCCCGTGGTTACTAATATCGAGGCAGATTTGTTCCTGTAATTATAACGTATACTGAATAATGAATTAAAAAGACATGGGTATTTCATAAAGTAAGATAATTCAACAAGCTCAGTTAGATTTCTGACTAAAATAAAATGAATGGATAATTATTTTATGAAATCCATTTAGCGAATTGGAGTGATTAAGTTTCCAAAAGATATTATGGATCTTCTTCGAGCACAGAGATGACGCTCATCAATATGATTTAATAGTCGTTGATTGCAAATTAATGCTTGTATATTAGATTTTTAAAATCTGAACGAGTTTATAAAGGTATAAACTTAGAATTATCCTGATTTACGAAAGGTATTATATTCCTGTATATAACTATAGTAAATACTATTTAATTAATCATTTATTTATACTTATTTATTCAGTTATACTGATTTTATTTTATTGCAAAACGTAAACGGTGTTGTATGATTTATTAATTTTGCAGTACACAGTGCGAGTATTGAATGTCGGAAAATATTTAAACTTATTAACACTTATACATTGCTGCACCATACACATTGACCAAATGAAAACAAGAACGTTCCAGATTCTGACATATACTGTGTTTGTGTCCAGTGCTTGATTCTAAGCACCCGAATGATTAAAATTTTTAGGCTAAAGAAATTATTCTATAATAAGCCGAACTTTTGCTTGTTATTCCATATTTATTGCTGCTGGAGTCATTAAAAGTCTTTGCATACCTTTCTACCTCATCCAGGGCATTATTGAGCTGACTCAATGTCGTCAAGTTCCAACGATTTTGCCCATTTTGCATTCTGATAAGGGCACAACCATCGTTGTGAAATTCTACTGTTATACCCATCGTCCACTTTCAATATTAAACGTGGGTGGAAGATTTGGTCAGCTTGTTTTGAGTATTATCAAATTGACCCCGGTGTAAGTATGGAAGCAGAGTATAACATAAATTCGATGATTTGAGTTAGATGTAAGACGGACATCATTATTCAAATAAAGCAAGCGTTGCAAAATTATAATTGAAAAGTTAAGTTTAATTGTTCCACCAACAAGCAGGGCAATTGACACACGAACACACGTTCACATTGAGATTTATCTTCAGATAGTTTTTTTTTTCACTATGTCATCAACACAGTTAAAACCCGTCCCATATATAATTAGTTATGTAGCGAAACTGAACTGGTTTCTAGAATATAGATTGATTGATTGTATGTTGTTTTAAGTCCAATTAGAGAATTTTTCACTAATATAGATACGTCATCATGTACCGGTGAAGGGTTTCAAATTTTGATTTTTACTCGGCACTCAGGGCCATTGAGCAGTGAGGGATCTTCATCGTGTCAACGCCTCCCGTGACACGGGGCCTCGGTTTTTAAGGACTCATCCGAAGGACTCGCAACTTTCACTTCAAAATGCCGAGAGCGTGGCGAAGGAACAGTTGCTACCCATTTTTTTTTATCGACTTAAGTCATTCGTGGCGGAGATTCGAACTCTCAACCTCCCGATCACGGAGCGAGCGCTCTACCGACTGAGCTACCGTGAACCGTAGAATACATAGAAAATAGACTTTTGCGAGAAGCACTGACTTTTACACTCGACGGCTTACTTTGACATTTAAACATGTGTCATGTACGGAGGTACGGACTTGATATTAGATTAGAAAACCTTACTAGTAGTCATAGGTATGGTGTTAGGGGCACTTACATGATTTACTTGTATGCATTCAACACAAGAGATGATCGGAGGTAGAATAACATAACTTAAAATACCTTCAAGTTGTTCGTGAGGGATAGTATTTCAATCTCATTTCATGAAAGAATCGAATAAGGAAGAAAAAACAATCCGGTATGAAAAATTGGCAGTAGTTGGTCAAATGGGAAAGGAGGGAGGTTAGTATAGGGTGTTTCTCCTTCCCCTCCCTAGACAACGTAATATATGTGCTTTGAAATGTCCAATTATTATCGTTTGATTATTTGTTAAGCTTAAAGAGGCTGGGGGGTTGTGGCCATTTTTAGACTATATTGATCTCCTTTAGAAGAAGAGCTCCATATGAAGATATAGAAAATGATCAAATTTTAAAACTAAAATTTTTGAAATTTTTCTTTGCCAAATGATAGTTGACAGCTTAAGATATCATATCTAAAAAAAATTAAGTTAAATCTGGTGGTTAATTTGTGGTTAATTTGTTGACCCCCCAGCCTCCTTAATATATATATCGCAAAAGAGTTGCCGTATTTGGTCGCAGTGTAAAAGTAAGCCGTCGATTGTAAAAGTCATCGCTTCTCGCAAAAGTCCAATAGCCACCAAATTATATTAACAAAACATTCTTGAGCTTGAATTATGTGCCTTCCGACCATTGTAAATAAAGGGAAAATCCGATATATATATGTATTTACTAAAAGTTTGCCATGTTCATATTCGACTCATGTTGACGCTTATCATGTTTACATGTTGACTCTCTGAATTGTTCGCAGTATACGCGTAGATTCGAATTTTCTGGCCCTGCATTGCCATCACACGGAACAAGTTTAACCAAGTAATAAGGACAATATCACTTTAACAACAGAATTTTCTATCCTATTTCGCTCTCCAGCGCTATGCTAGCATGGTTAGTCTTTTTTTTACTGGAATACACATCCTCGACTTTACGGTAGGACATTCTGGAAATACAATCGTAGATAAACTGTGCCATGTACAATACGTATTAGCTTTCCTAAAAAATTTGTCTGACTTGAAGAAGTTTATTTTTCGGAAAGAATCAAGAAAAAGATAAAAACTTTTTTCTATGCTCTATAAGGAATTTCTCCTTGATAGTGTCCACCCTAAAGTGAAAATTTCTGAAATTTCTTCCAATAAACCTGTTCATGGATACAAAGATATAACCAGTGCTTTTGAAAGAAAAAGTTACAACACATAAAAATCTTAACATCAATTGGTGAACAATTTTGATAATTAAACCTTTCACGTTGGTACCGGTCAAATCTGATCATCACCGGTAAGCCACTTTTTTTCTAATAGGTTGCTTAAAAAAATTAATAGTTTCGCTTAATTAGTATTAACTGATTTCAATAAATCAGGTACCAATTTACTTGTTAAATTTAATTATATGCAAAACAATTATGAAAAGTAAATATTTAATGCCTTAATTAACGGTTAACTCTGACTAGACTGCGAGAAAAAAACTCGGAAATTATTATTTTCATTCAAGTGCGTTTTTTTACAACTTTCCTCGCCGTTTAAAAAAACAGAAGTAATATTTCGAAATAAAAATTATCACCTAAAAATTAGAACACTTTTAAGAAACTATTCATGTAATTTCTCACATATATGTAATGAAAAAGTTGAAAAATACTTGGGTTGAATGCAGTAGTCAAACTGATATTGGCGTAAACCATAAACAGTCGACTATGAAAAGATACCACACATTCTGACACAACTGTTTCATATTTAGATATTTTACTAGAAAAGACGTTAATGGTAACCTAACAAAAAAACTTTATGATAAACGTGATGACTTAAACTTTCAATCGTCAACTTCCCTTACTTATGTAGCAATATGCCCTTATCAGATGCATATGGGGTTATGTCTCTCAGTTGATTCGATACCAAGAGTATTCTCTACGTATGAACAATTTCTAAAACGAGGCAATCTATTGCCAAACAAGTTGATGAAATAAAAATATCTTTTTAGATTGAATACTGTTCATTGTCTTCATATTTCATCGACAAAAAGTAAAAGCGTAATTAGTCCATGAGCCACTGGGGGTGGTCGTTACCATTTTTGAGCTTATAGTGATATTTGGTAAGGGATACCCCTAACTAGTTAGACGATGTATGATAGCATTTAATCCGTTGTGGCTTCCATGCTGGAGACAGTTATTACCCTTAATTTGTTCAAATTTGGTATATTGTGCTAAAAACATTTGCAACCTCGAAGGTATTTTGTTACACAGTCACCAAACGTGATATAAAGTTTGACTAGTCTGTGAAATTAGTCATAGATAAGAGAATGATCATTTTAAAAGAATAGAAAATGAGTTAATGGCCCTGATTCTAACAAAAATTTCATATTTTTTCACTTTTATTCAACCATTACTTCATAAATCTTTATAAAGTCAAACAAATTAAGTATCAAAGCTCATATAGATAGATATATATATATATATATATATATATATATATATATATATATATATATATATATATATATATATATATATATATATATATATATATATATATATATATATATATATATATATATATAGCAGTTGAATGTTGTCATTAACTAGAGTTTGTAAAACCTGTATTAATCAAAAATAAATTTTTATTCTCCTTGTATGCCCAGATTTCTGCCAAATAGAAACAGTGCATCTAAAGCGCCCACTTTCTTCATAAATTTTCAGAATTACTTTTTCCCAATAAAAATATAAATCTGAATATGATTAATTTTATGGAGAAAAACGGAAGGTTTTGTTTGTACTTTTTGTAAATCTTTATTCTCTGTTTGCAGATCAAAGAGACGGTGTGTGAGAGGCGATGAGAGTACTTCAATTTCCTCAGAGAGTTCAAATGGTCTGAGAAAATACGCAGGAACACCCGATCGGTTAGGTAGAAGTTTGCAAAGTGAGACGAATCACGTTGATTGTATTGATGGCAGTAAACTGTACAGCTTGCCTCGTTACAACGTCCACGAGAACAGGGCATATGGATACTTCGAATCTGATCACAAGTACGTAGGTAACCCGGTCAGAGAAAAACGGGGTTATGATATTCATTACTAGAGAAGGCAAAAACATTATGATGACAATGTGTGTGCTTTTAATTCCAATGCATAAATACAAACAAGTTTAATGTGATTCGAAATCATGAATGTAATTCTTCGGTGAAAACGATTCTTTTCTTTGCCAGATCAGCTTAAAAAATTCAGCATATTTTATTTTCTTCTTCAACAAATTTTGAGATTCGGCTACTTTAACCTGCTCATAAAATAGACGAATTTGAAGTTAAGATTTGAGCGTCATGGTGTATATATACATGCATGAATTTTTAGGTCACCTGAGTCACTCAGGTGACCTATTGCTATCTGTTTTTGTCCGTCGTCCGTCGTGCGTTAACATTTAAATATTTTCAGCTTCTTCTCTGAAACCGCTCAACCAATTTCAACCAATTTTGGCATATAGCATCTATGGGTGAAGAGGGACAAAATTTGTGAATTCCATGGTCCCTGCCCCCCTGGGGCCTGAGGGGTGGGGTTAAAACCACCAAAATTGATGCAATCTTTAAAAATCTTCTTCTTTACTCCTGGACATTAAGCAGTCAAACTGTTGGCATGATTGTAATAAGCATGGAGCCCACTACCAAAATTGTGAAATTCATAGCCCCAGGGTCAGGGGTTCTGGTGCTAGGGCAGGGCTACATAGATCATATAGTGAAAGTGCACTATTTCTTTGAAAATCTTCTTCTCTGTTCCTGGGAATTAGATAAACTAACTAAATACATAGTTATGTTGAGAAAGACTGCCTCTTCCAAAATTGTGAATTTCATGGCCCCTGGGTCAGTGGTTCTGGTGTTAGTGCGGGGCCCTATTGATTATATAGTGAAAATGCATTAATTCTTTGAAAATCTTCTTATCTGCTCCTGGGTATTAAATAAATTAACTAAGTACATAGTTATGATGAGCAAGAGTGCCTCTTAAAAAATTGTGAATTTCATGGCCCCAGGGTCAGGGGTTCTGGTGTTAGGGCAGGGCTCTATTGATTATATAGTGAAAATGAATTAAATCTTTGAAAATCTTTTCCTCTGCTCCTGGGCATGAAATAAACTAAGTACATAGTTATAATGAGCATAGCTGCCACTTTCAAAATTGTGAATTTCATGGCCCCTGGGTCAGGGGTTCTGGCGTAAGGGCGGAGCTCTATTGATTATATAGTGAAAATGCTGAAAATCTTTCAAAATCTTCTTCTTTGCTCCTGGGTATGAAATAAACTAACTAAGTATATTGTTATGATGATCATGGCTGCCTCTTTCAAAATCATGAATTTCATGGTCCCTGGGTCAGGGGTTCTGGTGAAGGGGGAGTGGGGGACTCTATTGATTATATAGTGAAAATTAATTTCTTTCAAAATATATTTTTCTACTCCTGGCTATACAGCAAATATACAAGTGTATTGTTATGATGAGCAAGGATGCTTTAACAAAATTTTTAAAACTTGTGGTCCCAGGGGTTCTGTTGTTTCTCTGAAGGGGGGGGGGGCTCTATTTGATTATACAGTGAAAATGTGTGAATTCTTTGAAAATTTTCAACTAATTGCATAGTTATGATGATGAGGGTACCTCTTCCAAATTTGTAAATTTTCATGACCCAAGGTCATGGGTTCTGGTGTTAGGGTTAGTGTAGGGCTGTGTTAAATAGTGAAAATGCATTATTTCTTCGAAAATCTCCTCTGCTACTGGGCGTATGGGAAGCAAACAGAGTAAAGTTTAATAAGCAAGGGTATTTTTACCAGAATTTTGAACATCTGGACCATTTAGTCAAGTGTTCTGGTCCTGGCAATTTGTATTCTATTGAGTGAAGTTATTCCCCTTTGTCATTCACTTTTGATAATTAATCACTGTAGATAATGTATTTGAAAGGTTAATAGAATAAGAGAATTATGCAAGAACATTTATTGTATAATACAAAAAGTACTTTCATCGTTTAAATAATCAGGCAGACTTGGAAATAATAGATGAATAAAAATGAGACAGAAATAACTTATCTTCTTAAATGTTCTTCAAAGGCCAAGTGAGGCCAATGTGAGAGGTAATAATATACATGTAGACATTTTGTACATGTAGATATTTTGTTAAAAGTCTGCATGGTAATATTGATAAATGGGGGTCAGATAGAAAGATACAAGATCAATTTTTTTGTTGATCTTACTCGTACTATTTTTCTTGCTTCATTTATCAGTTTATGGATCCTCTAAATTGTTTTATTCAGGTGTCCGTTAAGGCCCTTGGGCCTCTTGTTTTTATATTTATTTATATTTATTTATTTATTTTTATTTGTGATGGCACATGAGTTGCTGTGGTATCACGTGTAGTATAAAATCCCTAAAATGCCGATTACTAAATTACAGTTAAAGCAGCAAATGACTAAACATTAATCTCAGTGTAAGGTAAAGCTTTTTCATGCACAATGAGATTTTTGGAGACTGTATAAATTTAAATATGCTTTTTTAAATAGGATTTTTTATAACTTCCAGGTACTACATGTATAAATGTATCATATTAAATCATCAACATAGGTTTTATATATAAATTTAGCATATTTTTGTCCCCCGCTTTTACTGAATGTGGGGGATACTAATTTTAATCTATCTGTCTTTCTGTAACACTTTCGTTTCGGCGCAATATCTCGAGAAGCCATTGAAATTTTGCAATGCAATTTTTCATAACAACTCCCTATGGCCTAAAAAACCCTATTGATTTTGATGTCAAAAGGTCAATGGTAAAAAGTAATAAATTCAACATTCTGTCTGTTTTAACACTTTCGTTTCTGTGCGATATCTTGAGAAGCCTTTGTTCTTTTGCAATGAAATTTTATACCACAATTCCCTTTGGCCTAGGGAAGATACCTATTGATTTTGAGGTCAAAATGTCACAGATCAAGGTCGTTAATTCTTACTTTCTGTCTGTGTGTAACACTTTCGTTTCCAGGCGATATCTCAAGAAGCTCTTGATTTTATACAATAACATCGCCTGCCCCTCTCAAAGTGTCCCGCCCCGTTTTTTTTTTTTTTTAATGGTCAATTTTTTTTTTTCAGAAGTCAATTAGAAATTTGTTGGCATCGATCACGCTCAAAGTTTTAGAGTTACTCCCCCTTTATATTAAAAGTCGCATGGCGTTAGTTTTAGCACAGCAGCATGTGAAGAGTTATTGCATATGATACAGGTTGTCGGCGGGCTTTATAGTCTGATTACATCTTATAGAATTGTTTAGTAATGGCTAAATTAGACACCATATGTTGTGTAAAATTTTTACAATATCGAACGTGAATATATACATGTATATTTGACCTGCTATTTGCATTTGATATGTTTCAGTGTCAAGCGCCTCGTTTATCTTATGGGTATTATTCTCGCTTTGCATGCGAGAGGTCCACGGTTCACATCCCGGACGTTCTCTATTTTTTTTTATTTGAAATGTTTTTCGATTTACTGAATGATAGTATTTAACATCAGAAATAAA